TATCTATCTATCTATCTATCTATCTATCTATCTATCTATCTATCTATCTATCTTTCTATCTATCTATATATATCTATAACTTAGGGCCGGTAGCGTATTGTATATAGTAGTATAGCGTATTGTATATATAGTATAGTATTGAATAACATGTTTTGAACACAAATCTATTTTTGGTAGCGTTCTAAAAATTATATAACTTCTGGAATTTTTTAAATTAAAAACGATGTAATTTTTTTAATTTATCATATAAATTGTTTTTATTTATTGTTTTTTTATTTTTATTAAATATATTACAAGTCTTATTTAAATTCATTTTTGTTTAAAATTTTTTAATTTTTTTGTTTTTTTTTTTTAATTGGAAAAAATCTATTATGAATTTATTTTTAATTTTTGTTTTATTTTTAAAGAATTTATTATTTTGAACGTAACTACTTAATTGTGTAAACTTTTACACAAAACTTGTTTTTTTTTTGTTTGCTTGGTATTAAAAAAATGTCTGTTTCATAATTATAATCATAAGTAATAAAGTAAATAAATATGTATTTTTTTCAATTACTTAAATTAGTTTTCTTTTTGGCTTAAACTAATATACAATAATTTTTCTTTTATTTTTTTTTTGTTAAATAACTATAATTTATACGAAGAATAAGAAGAAAAAGCATATTTACATATTTTAAATTTTGGAGCGAACTGTGGGGAGTATACATTAGCATCATTTAAATTTATATATAAAAAAAAAAATTAAAATTAAATTAAGAAACATTTTTTCAATATGTGGCTTATGCACTCTACACCTTGTCATTTTGGCTTTTTAAACATTTATTAACATAAAGTTAAGAATTTGTTAATTAATTTTATTAGAAAAACATATGTTTAAGAAATTCGTTTAATATTTTTTCAAATACTTTCTTTAATTTTTAGTTTTTTTAGGCATTAGTGGTTATTTATTGACAATTTTTTTTTTGGTTAAATATTTATTACTGCTTAGCTTTTTTCTTCATTTCAACATACATTTGTAAACATACTATTAACTGGTGTAGGGTATACTATAAATTCGACAGAGACAAATGTTTTAAATATTTTAATTATAATTTTTTAAGATTTGTGTCTTTCGTTTAAATAAGATTTTAATTAAAATAAGTAATATATGTATAAAAAAAAATTATGAAATCAAATATTTTATTTATGTTTTTGTATTTTTCATTCGCTGCGAGTTTTCCTTTTTGTGTTTATTATATTTTGGAAGTATTTAGTGTTTTTTTTGTTTTAAATAATTCAAGAATTTGTATCATACTTTTTTCATAAGGATATGGATTTTATAAATTTTAACAAAAAAATGCGTTTTTTCTTTCTTTCAATAGTAAATGCTCGATCACTACACTATAATGGAAGTAGTTTAGTGGAAAGCTCTTTCTAGGTAGATTATAAAACATATTAAATATATATTTTTTAATGTAAATTGGAAGGAATTATAATTATTGATTATAAAAATATTATAGAATGCAAATCTAGATGAATAATTTAAATTAAAACTAATAACTATTTCGTAAATTAAAAAAGTTATAAAAATAAATTTTTACTTAAAATTTCTATGATTTCAGTTTAAAATTAATTTGTTAAGAACTTTGGGTTGGGTTTTTTAGAAAATTTTGTAAAACCTGTTTTACTATCTAAAAATAAAGGAATTTTACATAGAATTCTTATAAAATAAACGAATTTTGTGAGAGGAAAAGACTCAGAATATATATATAAAAATAGGTCATTATTATGAAAATTTTGGAAAGCAATGGTCAACATCAGATTTTAGCCTTAAAAACAGTGCAGTCATTAGGAAATCATCATGAGACCGAGCTCTTTAGAGGTAATTACCGAGCCAGTACTTGTAACAGTTTTGAACGCCAATGTAGACTGAAATCACGACGTTCCCAAGGACAGTGTTTTTGCAGACCAGCCTTGTCTTATTTTTTATGATACAGAATTAGCGAGGCATTCTTCTTGGGTCCCTGGACATGGGCATATAGAAGGTAATAACATTATGTAAAATAAAACAGTTGATCTCAGACAAAATCCAAATAATCGTACGTAAGTTATTCTAGTTTCGTATAAATAATTCCAGATAGCAAGTTTTATACGGAAGTGCTTAATATTAACTCCTTATTGGCTTAATTTTCGAAAAATATTGATTTATTCACATTTGTTAATTCTATTTTTTTTATAATTTTTACTTGAAACTCCTTTGCGTAAAAATGAAACCTGGTAATACAAGTTTTCTATGGAACTTTTATGATTATGTATCTCCTAATATAATTTAAATTAAGTAAGGGTTTGCATTATATGAAAAGAGTAATGTTGAATGGAGATGTTATAACAGAGCGAATACACCTTTATTTATAAAGTTTGTTTATATCATTGGAAAGTCCAATTCGTCGACTTATACAGTTATATAAGTGTTATATCTTCCTTATATAGCTCAGCTCAAATCTTTAGAAACCTGTACTTTGTTTTCTAGTTTTCGACTTTTTCCAAATTTTGTTGGCCTTTGTTTTCTTTCACAGAAAATCACGCCCTTAGCGTAGTATTTTGTAGTAATAAGTTCAGGAAAATCGGGAACAGGCATTTTTTTTCAAATTTGTAATTTGATCGATTATTCTTAAACAAAATTAATCGAAGACCCATTCTGATACTCTTAAAGTAGGGTTCTATAAATCGAATAATCGAACAATTGACTATTTTGTTCAAAAAAAAAAAATCGATAACTCGACTATCGTCTATGAAAAAAGTCGAAAATAGTCGAAAAAGTCGGGGAAAAATCGAAAAAAATCGAAAAGTCGAAAAAAGTTGAAGATAGTCGGAAAAAGTTGGAAAAAGTCGAAAACTCGAAAATAGTCGAAAATTGTAAATATGTGGAAAAAGTCAAATATTCTAAAATAGTCGGAAAAAGTCGAAAATAGTCGAAAAAAGACAAAAAATAGTCGAAAAGTCGACGATTTATAAATACTAAAAGTCGAAAGGTCGACTTTTCGTTTCAACTATAGAACCCTGCTTAAAAGTGGTAATGGTAATCATTTAAACTTTCGTCACTTTGTCTATAGCTAATCAAAGTTATGGCCGCAAGTATGGCCTTTAATATGAAACGGTGTTTATTTGAAATGGTCTGAGAAGTAAGAAGACAATTCGATCTTATTACTTAGGAATTGAAGTTCTTGTTAGCTGCTCAAATAGGTATTAAAAAATAAAATTTCGAATTGTTTATATACTTGTAAGCTAAGTTATAATCGTTAAAGTTATTTTATGAAGGGGACCTTATATGGGATTCTCATCAATAAAGATTATTTGTGTAAAATTTCAACACTCTAGCAATTCTCATTTAGGCATTATTATGTTTTCAACGGACATAGGTAGATTATCTAAGAATCTAATAAGGTACCAGAATGTACATATCGAACATTTACTACAAAATTGTCATAACTCAAAGTTCAGACTAGAAATATATTAATTTTACTCTAATTTTATGTTTGAAGTTCGATAATTAATTTAAAAGTTATTTAAGAAATAGTAATATGTCACAAAAGATCCATTGAAATTTTTCACGAAACGACTTTTTTTGGATTATGACAGTCTTGCAGTAATTGAACGATATACCCAGTAAAAACTTACATTGGAAATTAATAAGCTTTTTTCTATTTCTTCATTCGTGGTAAGGCAAGAACAAGGCCTACCACAAATAACTACTTAAATAAGTACTAACAAATAGGGAGTTAAAAAGTTGTTTTGTTTTAAAAACAAAATTTCTCACACCGAATACGATCCTGGGCTTTTTTTTGTTAGTTCGCTGTAGTACACCACAGCTTAGTTATTTCATTATGCGTCCAAAAATACATTACAAAAGTAAGTGGTTATGTAAGTACATACATATGTGGGTCTACGACCAAACAGAATGATATAATCGAGCTTTTTTGATGCTGATTATAAATAAATTCGAACAAAATTCATTGATTAAAGAACTATTTCCAGAACCGTTTCAAAAAATGAGTGTCGATTTCATAACACTTCCTCAAAACGGTTTCGAAGGTGACAATTTCGAACAAAAGTCATTGGTCTCAATGCCAAAGTAGAACGTGTAAAGGCTATAATCATGCGTTCTAGAACTAGTTGTGGGGCTAATACCTACAGAATTCCTCATAAGTATGTATTATATATACATAGTAGTAAATATTAAATTAAAAACAAATGACTTATTAAAATTAAATGAAAAGTTGTGCAAATACAAAACTAATTTAAAATCTAAATAATTAATAATTATAATTATGAACAGGTAACTTAACTATTTTTAAAAATATATTTATAATAAATATTATTGACTTACTTGGAATTATTTATGTCAAGACAATTTTAATTTAGTTTTTAACTAATAAGCAGTAAACATTATAATAATTTTCATAAGAAATAGACATAATTGTGTAAAATTCTAAATGAAATAAAAATGTTTACATCTTTGCAACAAAACTAATTACTAAAAGCTAAATTTAAAAAAAATATCTTTTAAACTAATTATACAAAAATTTGGCATTAAAATTTTATATAAAGGGAATTTTAAGTTTTGTAATCGGCTAAAGAAATTAATAATATAAGTAAAATTTGATATGATAAGAGACGAATTTTGTTTTGGCATAACTTTTGGAACAAACTATGAAGATTTATTTTAAACTACTTTAAGAATACATTTTCATTTAGATTTATAATATCTGCGGTAAAGTTAAATATGTATATTATTTTTTTTATTTTTGTAATTTTCTGGGGGAAATGGCAGTGGTTTATATTTTGTTAAATAATAATAAAAATAAATTAAATTAAAGAAGATGTTGTCATATAAATATTTTAAAATAAATTTAATAATTAATAAATAAAAAAAAAACATATAAAACCCGAATTAAATTTATTACATGAAAAATACATAATAATTTTTTATAATTCGAATGCTTTTGTTCCCTTGTATGAAGTTACTTTTTATTTTTTTGGCTTAAATAGTTAAGATAATTGAAAAGAAATAAAAAAAAATAAATTTTTTCAAAAAATAACTGCAAATAACAACAAATACTTAAATATTATATTGAAATGATAATAAAGAACATTTCGTTTAAGCAATTGAGGCTGAGAGCATGTAGTTGTATCAACTACATCAACACCATCTAATGGATGATTGAGACTATGCGAATCGTAGCCTAAATCCTGCATTGGAACAACTTCGGGTAACAAATGACGCATATGTGATGATGGAGAACGTCTGTCTTTCATTTGATGCCTAATGATAAAAAAATATTATAATTAATAAATATATATATTCTTTTTGCGCAAATAATAAACACATCTATAAAATATTTTAAGAAAACAAAATTAGAATGGAAAGAACATAAATCTTACGTATTATCTTGGTAGGAATTTAATTGTCTGTCGATAGCACCATGCAATGTTTTATAGAAGAAGGAGAAAATAATATTTAAATATTATTGTAAATCCTTAAGAAATAAAATTAAAATATATTGAAAATAAATATCTATTTAATTTTTTAAAGTTATAGATTTTTGCAATATGTTCTCTGTATTTTAAATTAATTTCAGTTACGCTACAAAATTTGTGTACAAACAATAACTTCCCGAACTTTTCCATACATACATTCGATCAAATAGCAAGTTGCGAGTCAACATTACTGTTGATATGAGACATATCAAGGATTCTACAAATGTAAAACATTTGATTTGTATCAAATTTTCCACTTTTTTCCAAAAACTCCATGACACGATTTATGAGATTCGGATTCAGCGCTGCTCAATCCTTTAGGAAAGTATGCTTTGCTCTGGTTAAAAATTTTTGTAATTTAAGTTGTTCACAAAACTAAAGAAATTCTGAAAGTGCATTATTTTTGACATCGAGGATTTGGTATAAGATCTAACCACTATAATACTATGCAGAGAAAATATCACTTAGATCTAAAACAGTTTTCAGATAAAAACACATATAATACTGAACTAGAACTGAACTAGAACTGAACTAGAACTGAACTAGAACTGAACTGAACTAGAACTGAACTAGAACTGAACTAGAACTGAACTAGAACTGAACTAGAACTGAACTAGAACTGAACTAGAACTGAACTAGAACTGAACTAGAACTGAACTACTACTGAACTAGAACTGAACTAGAACTGAACTAGAACTGAACTAGAACTGAACTAGAACTGAACTAGAACTGAACTAGAACTGAACTAGAACTGAACAAGAACTGAACTAGAACTGAACTAGAACTGAACTAGAACTGAACTAGAACTGAACTAGAACTGAACTAGAACTGAACTAGAACTGAACTAGAACTGAACTAGAACTGAACTAGAACTGAACTAGAACTGAACTAGAACTGAACTAGAACTGAACTAGAACTGAACTAGAACTGAACTAGAACTAGAACTGAACTAGAACTGAACTAGAACTGAACTAGAACTGAACTAGAACTGAACTAGAACTGAACTAGAACTGAACTAGAACTGAACTAGAACTGAACTAGAACTGAACTAGAACTGAACTAGAACTGAACTAGAACTGAACTAGAACTGAACTAGAACTGAACTAGAACTGAACTAGAACTGAACTAGAACTGAACTAGAACTGAACTAGAACTGAACTAGAACTGAACTAGAACTGAACTAGAACTGAACTAGAACTGAACTAGAACTGAACTAGAACTGAACTAGAACTGAACTAGAACTGAACTAGAACTGACTAGAACTGAACTAGAACTGAACTAGAACTGAACTAGAACTGAACTAGAACTGAACTAGAACTGAACTAGAACTGAACTAGAACTGAACTAGAAGTGAACTAGAACTGAACTAGAACTGAACTAGAAGTGAACTAGAACTGAACTAGAAGAACTGAACTAGAACTGAACTAGAACTGAACTAGAACTGAACTAGAACTGAACTAGAACTGAACTAGAACTGAACTAGAACTGAACTCGAACTGAACTAGAACTGAACTAGAACTGAACTAGAACTGAACTAGAACTGAACTAGAACTGAACTAGAACTGAACTAGAACTGAACTAGAACTGAACTAGAACTGAACTAGAACTGAACTAGAACTGAACTAGAACTGAACTAGAACTGAACTAGAACTGAACTAGAACTGAACTAGAACTGAACTAGAACTGAACTAGAACTGAACTAGAACTGAACTAGAACTGAACTAGAACTGAACTAGAACTGAACTAGAACTGAACTAGAACTGAACTAAAACTGAACTAGAACTGAACTAGAACTGAACTAGAACTGAATTAGAACTGAACTAGAACTGAACTAGAACTGAAATAGAACTGAACTAGAACTGAAATAGAACTGAACTAGAACTGAACTAGAACTGAACTAGAACTGAACTAGAACTGAACTAGAACTGAACTAGAACTGAACTAGAACTGAACTAGAACTGAACTAGAACTGAACTAGAACTGAACTAGAACTGAACTAGAACTGAACTAGAACTGAACTAGAACTGAACTAGAATTGAACTAGAACTGAACTAGACTGAACTAGAACTGAACTAGAACTGAACTAGAACTGAACTAGAACTGAACTAGAACTGAACTAGAACTGAACTAGAACTGAACTAGAACTGAACTAGAACTGAACTAGAACTGAACTAGAACTGAACTAGAACTGAACTAGAACTGAACTAGAACTGAACTAGAACTGAACTAGAACTGAACTAGAACTGAACTAGAACTGAACTAGAACTGAACTAGAACTGAACTAGAACTGAACTAGAACTGAACTAGAACTGAACTAGAACTGAACTAGAACTGAACTAGAACTGAACTAGAACTGAACTAGAACTGAACTAGAACTGAACTAGAACTGAACTAGAACTGAACTAGAACTAGAACTGAACTAGAACTGAACTAGAACTGAACTAGAACTGAACTAGAACTGAACTAGAACTGAACTAGAACTGAACTAGAACTGAACTAGAACTGAACTGAACTGAACTGAACTAGAACTGAACTAGAACTAGAACTGAACTAGAACTAGAACTGAACTAGAACTAGAACTGAACTAGAACTGAACTAGAACTGAACTAGAACTGAACTAGAACTGAACTAGAACTGAACTAGAACTGAACTAGAACTGAACTAGAACTGAACTAGAACTGAACTAGAACTGAACTAGAACTGAACTAGAACTGAACTAGAACTGAACTAGAACTGAACTAGAACTGAACTAGAACTGAACTAGAACTGAACTAGAACTGAACTAGAACTGAACTAGAACTGAACTAGAACTGAACTAGAACTGAACTAGAACTGAACTAGAACTGAACTAGAACTGAACTAGAACTGAACTAGAACTGAACTGAACTGAACTGAACTAGAACTGAACTAGAACTGAACTAGAACTAGAACTGAACTAGAACTAGAACTGAACTAGAACTGAACTAGAACTGAACTAGAACTGAACTAGAACTGAACTAGAACTGAACTAGAACTGAACTAGAACTGAACTAGAACCAGAACTAGAACTAAACTAAAACAAGTGTAAAATATCACTTAATCATAAACAGTTTTCAAATAAAAACACATAAATAATGAATTTACCTTTTATGTCGTTTTGCACTAAAACATGCACAACGACATGAACACATTGACGATACATTTGATCCACTAAATGATTGACCATCATGTCCTTCATAACCACTCAATATGGAACCATTCGCAGTTATAACATCACCCTCCAATTTAACCGAACCTTGAAGAGCCTGTTTTTGTTGTTGTTGTAATAATTGAGAAATTATATAAATAGACACAGAATCAGATGGAAAAAAACACATTATTAGTAAAACGACAGACTTTTTATTAAAATTAAATAAACTAAAAGTCTTTAAAATAAAATGCTTCAACATAAACACAACATAAAGAAAATAGCATCTTGTATACTTGTTGTTAGAAATTAGTAATAATAGTAATAAACAAGTTTTGAAAACAGGAAACGGAAATGTATAAAAGAAAGTAAGTAAAAGTATAATAAGTTTGTTTGAAGGAGGTGGTGGTATTTGTAGTAGAGTATTATGAACTGAAATTTGTTTTGGAATTTATTTATTTGAAAGTGTTTCTCGGTGTAGTAAGTTTTGTATTTAGTTGGAGAAGAAATTTAATTAAAATTAAATTGAAAGAGCATTTTTTAATTATTAATTTTTATATGTATAATTATATAAATGAAAGCTTTCACAAAATTGTATTTAGAGTATGAGAGAGTTAGAAAAAAAATCACCTCGTTTGTCCAAAAATTGGACTTGGTCATAAACTATTTAACGTTTAACACGATTTTTTTGGCCCAAAATATTTATTTTATTTTGATTTTGTGATTTATACATGGATAAAGGAAAAATTTAAAAAAGAACGAAAATATGTGTTACAATTTTAATTATCAACTTTTTAATACATTTGTTTTGAAAAATTATCAATAAAAGAAATTAAATTTAGCAAAATTGTTGGAAAAAAAGAGTTTAAAAAATGTGCTTTAACAATTTCATAAGTGCAAACATTTTTTGAAATTAATTGTATAAAAGTTTAGGTTTTATTTTTAATAGCATCTGATGGGGGAGTATTTTTTATTTGATATAAATAATTTAGGTTAAATTAAAAAAAGGGCCACAACTACTTTAATTTATGACATTATATTGATAAAATTAAAAAAAATGTTTATAAAATTGATTTTGTATAAAGTTAAGCAATAAATATTTACGAACAATAATTTAAATACAAATGTGTATATTAGGAGAAAAATGTATTAACATGATTGAGAAAAAATAAAATAAATAAAATGTTGTTCTCTAAAAATATTCCTTGATCTCAACATGGTTTCCTTTAGTGAATATATAAGAAAATATGTTTTTTAAGTTTTCAGGATGACCGTGTTAAAAACGAAATTACAACTGCGACGATATACAAATCTTTTGAATTTAGTGAGATAATTGTCTAAACTAGAACTGAACTAGAACTGAACTAGAACTGAACTAGAACTGAACTAGAACTGAACTAGAACTGAACTAGAACTGAACTAGAACTGAACTAGAACTGAACTAGAACTGAACTAGAACTGAACTAGAATTGAACTAGAACTGAACTAGAACTGAACTAGAACTGAACTAGAACTGAACTAGAACTGAACTAGAACAGAACTAGAACTGAACTAGAACTGAACTAGAACTGAACTAGAACTGAGAACTGAACTAGAACTGAACTAGAACTGAACTAGAACTGAACTAGAACTGAACTAGAACTGAACTAGAACTGAACGAACTGAACTAGAACTGAACTAGAACTGAACTAGAACTGAACTAGAACTGACTAGAACTGAACTAGAACTGAACTAGAACTGAACTAGAACTAGAACTGAAATAGAACTGAACTAGAACTGAAATAGAACTGAACTAGAACTGAACTAGAACTGAACTAGAACTGAACTAGAACTGAACTAGAACTGAACTAGAACTGAACTAGAACGAACTAGAACTGAACTAGAACTGAACTAGAACTGAACTAGAACTGAACTAGAACTGAACTAGAACTGAACTAGAACTGAACTAGAACTGAACTAGAACTGAACTAGAACTGAACTAGAACTGAACTAGAACTGAACTAGAACTGAACTAACTGAACTAGAACTGAACTAGA